TTATGGCTCTAGAGTAGGATTATCTATTCGAGTGGCTATCTTACCTCTGGTTACGCATTTTATAGAGGTTAGCTAGTAGCGGAGCAGTGTGCTATGATAGGAATAGTAGGCGATAGTGTTTATGTTTTCAGGTTCTATCGTTAATCGTGGGAAGGCGAAGGCATGATTGTACACACTCATCAACAATATTGAGGATTCCGCGTTTCTTATATTACTCTAAATTTCAATAAATGTATTTTGGAATAAACAGTTTTTTTTAGTAATGGATTTATAATTAGGATGTTTTGCCTTATTTAAAAATGAAAATTCTTTGTTGTGAAAATGAGACGTTACACATAAGCATCAACAACCCCACACCTCTCCTCAATGATTGTCCCACGTAAGACATCGTGAGAAAAATCTAAAAAAATCATACATAAGTACTGAATAACTACAAAAACATAAATGACTTATTTTGAAACAAACAAAATATTAAGGACTAAATATATACAAAAATATTAAGGACTAAATGTGTACAAAATGAGAAATATATTACCCTATTAAGTCATTTTTCCTAGCTAACCTAGAGTAACCGGTCATAAAGACTGAATGTGTAGAGTTTAACAAGTTGAAGATGTAAATGTGAACGAAAAATACTCAATAAACAAATATGTACAATTCAAAAAATATATTATCCTTTTAAGTTATTATAATTTTCAAAACAATATCATTTAACATTTCAAACGCACCTTTGTGATGTACTATTCTGTAGGGCCAACTAGAAAATTCAAAACAATATCATTTAAACATTTCAAACGCACCTTTCGAAGTGTGGGCTGCGAAATTGGTGTTTACTGAGGGTTTCTTTCTATGTTTGGCTAATGTATTTAATTGTGAGCATTTTAAAAGTGACAATCTTTATTTTGAAGTGGGCTCTGTAAAATTGGTTGTTATTGAAAGTAGTTCTTTAATGTTTGACTAATTTTATATTGTTTTGTGAATTTTATATCGACTTCTCTATTTTGAAATGGGTCCTACAAAATTGATACTTATGACATTTTATTTTAACGGATGTTAATTAAACTAAATATAGAGTATTTTTTTTTTATAAAAATAACATTTTTTTTTCAGTTTTTAAAAAATAACCATATTTTGATGAATTCTTCATTCCGGACCTTTTGAAATTTTGTAGTGCGCTTTTTTTTTATTTGTATATATTTTTTTTTTCTCAAAGAAACTATTTACATGTTTGAAATATCCATTTAAAGTGTTTAATATCTTAGTTTTTAATAAAATTTCTTAGATTGTTGAGTATGGGCAAATAGAAAGAGCGTTATGGGTGCGGTGACACCTCTTAACGCCGTTACAATAAGGGGACCACCAACCCCTTTCATGTTAATGGATGTTATGGTATGAAATGTTATATAAGGACCACATATAGCAATGCGATATTAATCAATCAAAACCTCTCTCTCTCAACAAGTTATAACATGTCAACACCATTTCCTACATAAATCATATGGTGTTAAGGATGATATGACATGTGAGTTAACACCTTTTTGGTATGATAATATGTTGCTCATACTTAATAGTCTTACTTTAAGTTTATATATATATATATATATATATATATATATATATATATATATATATATATAAGGAAAAGTAAATATACATTACAGCCCCACCTAAGCTTAGATACTAAACCTCATGAAAATACGTCGTTTTACTATATAAAGATTACGGTTAGGAGACTCACTATTAACACTTGAAGATGTAGATTCAAGATCGACGCAATAGTTTTGATAAGGAAGCAAGAATATTGATTATCTTCGACCTCCGTGATAGTGAAAAAAAGTAATGTTCATTAGGGTGAAGTAATAAACGATAATGGAAGAAAGAAAACACGGATGGTAAAACGATAATAGAGGAAATAAATGTTATCGATGATGGTATATTTTACAAGTGAAAACCAAATCGGGTATATTTACTAAGTTAAAATGACATATTTTAGAGGTTTAGTACCTAAGCTTAGGTGGGGCTGTAATGTATATTCCCTATCCCCATATATATATATATATATATATATATATATATATATATATATATATATATATATATATATATATATATATATATATATATATATATATTGAACGACAAATCTAACCAACTGACAAACTACTCATTAATTCCATCTATGTTCACGACAAGACTTGAACCTCAACCTCAAAGAGGGAGGGCAACACCGGATACCGTTGGGCTAGAAGCCCTTTGGTGAGTATTTGATGAGTATGAGCAACATGTTAAGGCATGTTATAACATCATTTTGATGGCACCTCACATGTCACATCACCATTGGTGTTATAACACCATTTGGGGAAAATTGTCAACAGGTTATAAAACCATTTCTTTTTTTTTTTCGGTTTATTTTTTAATATTTTTAAAAAGAAAATTATTTTAATGAAAAATGTTATTTAAATAAAACCTATTTTTTTAATTGAACATAACATTTAAAAACTCAAACAAACATTATAAAAAAGAAAAAAAAAATAACATTTTAAAACTAACAAAATACATTAAAAGACGAAAAATATACATTTTTTCCCCTAAATTGACTACTCTTCATCTTCGTTACCATCGTACATATAATCTGTCAGGTCTCTGCGTCTATATTTTTGTGCGTCTTGAATATCAACGACTCTATGTAAATATTTCGTTGTCCCCGGTTGAAATTGCATGTATCTAGGTTTCGTAGGCAAATACTCTACAATATTTCAACATATATCTTCAATAACTATGTTATACATTATGATACATACATACATAATATCTTGTAGAGTGCCTATCTCATATGATCGCATTGCATGTTCAACTATGGGCCACTTCGAATTTAGAACTCTAAAAGCACATTCCACATCCTTACGTGCTACTTCTTTTCTCCTCTTGAAAATTTGTCTCTTGGTTCAACTGGGTGTCGAAATGCTTTCACGAATGTGGAATATGCTGGATATATTCCATCCGTATGGTAATACCCAAACTTATATTCATTTCCATTCACTATGAAATGAGCACCCAGTGCCTTTCCTGATAAAAGATCGTTGAATATCAGTGACTGATCAAGAACGTTGACGTCGTTGTTGGAACTAGCAACCCCAGAATAAGCATGTCAAATACACAAATATTGGGAAGCAACAACCTCTAATACCAACGAAAGCGCTCCATGATGACCAACTGCATATTGGCATTTCTACGCAACGGGACAATTTCTCCATTTCCAGCGTGTGCAATCAATGCTTCATGCATACCCTGAAAACCATGTCTTTCTTCATGTGTCGCATATAGTTGTTGTATATCATTCAATGAATGCTTTCGCAAATAAACGTCACCACATGTTTCAACAACACCTCTTGCAAATCTATATAAACTTTCTCTTGCGGTTCTTTCAGACATTCTCATATAATCGTCAATAAATTAAGGCGACTCCCCTATAGCCATCAACTTAATTGCCGCAACACATTTATGCAAACATGTGAATCCTCACATACCTCTAGCATCATATCTCATTTGGATACATACCTAAACATATATTTACTAGGTAAAAACATTTTTATTTTATCTAAAAACTACATTTAAAATATACAAAAATTTAAAGAAATAATACCTACTTTCCAATACGTTGGCTACCCGTACAAACACACTTTTTCGCAAACGAAACCCTCTTTTGAAATCGCTTGTCTGGTAGACACAATTTTCCGCAAAATAATCATGAACTAGACGTTCATGTCATTCTTTACGATTTCTGTTTAACATCGCACATCTTATTAGTAGAGGAGCTGAATTTGGTTGTAGTAGTACGTCCCTACAATATTCGTACATCGTACTGATGAAGACAACATCATCATCATCATCATGGTTGAACAAGTCAAATATATTCTTTTTTGTAGAAGTATTGAAATTTTATAAAGTATAGAAAAAAATGGTGTGAATGACTTTGAGGGAGAAGATTTGTATTTATTAGTAATATTTTTTTTTTGAAAAGTTGACCGTTAATATGGTTAATGGGCCAAACTAGACTCAATTTTGATTGACTGAAATACATCTTGCAAGATGTTCTCGTTACCAAGAGGGATAACTTAACGACACTGGGGCGGTGTTTAAGCCGTTACCACGACGTTAGGCCAAGTCTACGTTGGCCTTAACGCCTGATAACGGCCCGTACACTCTAGGCTTAATATATTTGTAACTTTTTGTTAGATTTCAGTGAAACCTAAGTTTTTTCTTGAAGTTCTAAAAATATTTATTGTATTTTGGATTTGTTTTTGAAATTTAGAAGATGTTTTTCTATGAACTCCATAAATTCACAGCGTAAGGCTGGTGGGTGTGGGTAACATGTTATCACACTCCAAAGTTGCCACCTCACCAGCCATGTCAAAATGGTGTTATAATACAAATTGAAGCAAATGGACAACATGGTATAACATGAAGTGTGAATGATGTTCCCATGTTATAACATTATGTTAAGAGGAGAGAGAGATAAAAAGATAAATATGTGCAACCAATGAGAAGAAAGAAAGACTCCCGCTACAATATGTTATCACGATAACATCTCTTAACATAACACGAAATAACATGAGAAAGAGGCGGTGTTCCTCATGTTATGTGCCACATAAGCATTGGCCACTCCGTACACTCTAAAAATGCAATCCAAAATATCAAATTTTGTTAGAAAAAATAATTTTTCTTATTTTAACATGGCCCCATTTCAAACCGGTTATCTTATAATTTTCTTAAAAATAAAAATAAAAATTAGTTCAAATTATGACTAATTTAATCGATATCCCTTCGTGAAGTGTGTTCCTAGTTGCTACTCACCCACAAGCAACCGACAATTTCACCTATTTCACGTCAGCTAGCCTACTCTGCTTTTCTCGGTAACCAACCTCGGTTTCCCAACTCTCTCTCTCTCTCGTATGCCCAAACGATTCTCTTACATCGAAAAGATAGGCGTGATACTGTAGATGAGACTGAAACCACAGCAACGGCGACGCAAGACGGCAGTTATTCTTCGAATATCATCACCAGCAACGATTTCTCACTATATCTCCATCTTCTTCGGAGAAATGCTCCGTCGCTACTTCTGTGAATTCAAATCCTCCACATTGCTCCACCGTGTTCGAATCGCCTCGCTGTTCTTCATATCTTTTGTTTTTTCTTATGTCCTTCTCAATAGCGCTCTTGATTCTTGCCAGATCCGACTTCCGGAGTACTTGGTCTCGTCTACCGACATGCTCTCCTCTTCCCTGTCCTTCAACTCGTTGTCGGTTAGTCTCCTTTAACTCATCATTTAGAAAAAATTATTTGTTGTTACAAGGGTAATTTATTAGTAACTTAAAGTCTATTAATTTCAATCTTTGGAATTCTCTATTAGGATTTTAAAGGTATTCCTTCTCGATAAAACAACTGCAAGAAGTTTATTTTCCTAATTTCTGTATCAAATGAGGAAATAAAGGATGTGTGACAATTTCTGTATCAAATGTATTGCTATTGCAGGAGAGAGCTTATTCTAGTCTGGAAACTGTTTTAAAGGAGGCATCTATGAACGACAGGACAGTTATTTTAACTACTTTGAATGAGGCTTGGGCGAATCCAGAGAATTCGATTCTTGATCTGTTTCTTGCAAGCTTTAGGTTTAGTCAAGAAACCAATAGACTCTTGAATCACTTGGTGATTATTGCTCTAGATCAGAACGCATTTGCAACTTGTAAGCGTGTTCATACCCATTGCTTTGCCCTCAGTAGTGAAGGAGTTGATTTCTCTCAAGAGGCCTATTTTATGACCCCTGATTACTTGAAGATGATGTGGCGAAGGGTTGATTTCTTACGCTCTGTGCTTGAAATGGGATACAACTTTCTTTTCACTGTAATCCTCTCTCTCTCTCTCTCTCAGAGTAACGCATAATATGCATATTGATTTTGGTGGGTTTCCTTGAAGCAGGATGCTGATGTCATGTGGTTCAGGGATCCTTTCCCTCATTTCTATTCGGATGCTGATTTTCAAATTGCATGCGACCATTACTCTGGAAACTCGACTGATGTTGAGACAAATATACCCAATGGAGGATTTAGTTTTGTGAGGTCAAATATCCGGTCAATAGAGTTTTACAAGTACTGGTACTCTTCCAGAGTAATCTATCCAGACATGCATGATCAGGATGTCCTCAATCGTATAAAATTTGATTCAATCCTTACAGACATCAACCTGAAGTTGAGGTTTCTAGATACAACGTATTTTGGGGGATTTTGTGAACCTAGCAAAGACTTGAACAAAGTGTGCACAATGCATGCAAATTGTTGTGTTGGTCTGGAAAACAAAGTTCATGATCTTAGAATCATGCTTCAAGATTGGAACAACTTCATGGCTCTTCCTCCTAGCATGAGGTCTGAAACAAATTTAACTTGGAGGGATCCTAAAAACTGCAGGTAACCTTTGGTGATTATCTCTGACATGGTTTCTTTTATGCATTTCAAGAGAAAAGGAAAGTTTTTTGGTGATTATTTCTGACATGGTTTCTTTTCAATATTGGTTTACAGTCTTGCTTTGCGTAGACATCTTGATTTGTCTGAAGATGGAACAAGTGGAGAAACGATGAGTTAACATTCTGCATTTCCCGTTAGTTCCTCAATGTAAAGATAAATCTTCTAACTTGTAAGTTTTTCTTCACTGAAAGTAGTTATTATTGTAGAGAAAAAAATGACAAGACGTATGCTAGTTCATTTGCATAGTGCAGTGAGATACATGTACAACATAAAACTCGTAAATCAAGAATTTGAAATACACTATAATCGTTTAACTTAACTGTTTAGGCGTTAGATTCTTCCAAATGATCGTGTGGCCCCTATCTTCTTCAACTCCTACATTACCATGTTCCAAACCCTAAAACCAAACCTAATTACAAAACAAAATTTTGACTATAACTCTCAAGAATCAAACTTAAAATTAAAACAAAATCTAAAGAATCAAATTTAAAATTATATGAAAGCATCAAATTCAATAGCTTAAACCTAAAATATATGTTGGCATCCTCAATGTTTCTCCACCTAGCTGCACTTCACACAAAACTCCCCATGCACACGCACACCGTTTTTTTGACCATTGATCTCATTGTTTTGTTGCCTAATATCAAGGATTGGATAATTTGTTGTATTAGAGACAAAAGATATGGTATTATAAAGAGGAAGTGTGAATGAAGGTGGTTAAGTTGTGCTTGCCTTGGGAGGATTTGATTCCAAGCTTTGTGGTAGGTGATGGTGGGAAGTGTATGAGTTTGGTAACATATCATCATCGTCGGTAGCATCTATGTTGGTGGCGGGATTGATCTCGTTGCAACAATGGTGTTATAGTGGTAGTTGGGAGTGTAATCGAGTAATGTCAACTCCTTAGACACTTGAGACCGACTTGAAAATATTTGAAATCAATTTGATTCAACTCGAGTCGAGCACCAACTAGTCCACTATATTGTCAAGTTGAGCTCGAGTCTTAAAATTCTTTGCTCGTGAATCTTTTGAGCTTTCTTGTGCTTGGGAAAAGTTATATTTTTACGCTTTATTTTATCTATATTTGCATTTTTTGAACGACTTACTTATATTTACATAATTATTGGTAGTATATAATAAAGCTGATATTGAAAGTGTCGAGCATAGTCAAATTGCATTATTTTAATACATCATTTAGCCTTGTCGAAAATGTCAATTACTTAAACAAGCTTAATTTGAGCTCGAAAATTAACTTTCACTCATGCTTGAGTCTAGTTTCAAGCTTCAAGTTTTTTATTAAGAGTCGAGCGAGCGCATGTATGGACTTGATTCAGTTCGATCACACACCTAAGAGCATATATGTTGGTTATGTGATGAATAAACAAGGTTTACACACTCTTACATACAAAATCCTGTGTTATCGTAGAATCCGTCGTAGATTCCAGTAATATGAAATCCGTTGAAGATATATTTTTGAAAGATGTTTAAATCTCAACTCCAATATAGCTTTTGATGTTGTTGGTATGTTTAATGGGTACTCGTAACCTTACCAAGGTAGATGAACCTATGGATGTCAACGGGGGCAAACGGGACGGTGAGTGCATCCCCCACCCCCGCCCCCGAAATTTCCCCGTTCCCCCATCCCCGCTCCCGCCCTCGAAACCCTTACCAAGGTAGATGAACCTATGGATGTCAACGGGGGCAAACGGGATGGTGAGTGCATCCCCCACCCCCGCCCCCGAAATTTCCCCGTTCCCCCGTCCCCGCTCCCGCCCTCGAAATGCTCAGCCATCCTACCCCCCTCGCCCCCGCCCCAGAATCCCCTTTATTACCCCCGCCCCCGCCTCCGATTGATTTTAGGCTGCATTTTTTTTGGCTAAAAGAAGTTGTTATTTAGGCTAAAAGAAGCTATTTTTTAGATAAGAAATAATTATTTATAACACAATTTTACATGTTAAAAATAAAAAATTCTGGCATCTTAAAAACATTATACTAACAACCTAAAAACATGTTTTTTTGATGAATTTTGGAAGCTCAAAATCATGTTATTGTTTATTATATTTATATAATTAATATATGTAAATATATGTGTAATTTATTAACGGGTCTCCATGGGGGTTTCGGGACGGGATGGCCTAACCCCGCCCCCGAAATTAAAACAGGGGTTAACCTAGTCCCCGCCCCTGTCCCCGCCCCCGATTTTTTTTTATAATTTCCCCCAAACGGGACGGGGCCCCCACGGGAACGGGGTCCCACGAGACTTTTTGACATCCCTAGATGAACCACAAAGTAGTAGTAGAGTCGGAATGGAGAGAACCTAGGTGATGGGTTCTTCCGTTCTTGGTCAAAGGGAAGCATATGATAGTGTAAAGTGAGGTATTTTCACAATTAATATGGATGTGGTGATCCCAAGGTCTTTGAAGTGGCTAGAGCCATCAATGATGCAACCGTCTCTCTTAAAATTAATGTAACTAGGGAATTAGTGGATCTACCAAAACACATAGGATCAAAATGAGTATTGAAAACAATATACCACTAAATAGATAAATCTCTTTCTCTAAAGCAATATTAGTTGCTAAGATTTATGCAAAAAGAACAATTTGATTTCTTTGAACACCTATGTTTTGTTTGTTAGGATGAATTTCTATAACGTGTGATTTTTACAAAAAAATGATCTTTTGTTTCTAAAATCTTTTAATAGAAAATGCAACGAAAATGTTATATTGTCTATTTCAAAACCTTTCAAAGTAAACCTCAACGTTACATTCATTCAAAAACTAAACATCCAAGACGTTTATAAATGTAGCGGAAGCAAAATATAAAAGTAGATAACTAAAAACGTGTCTATTTCAAAATTCAAAACCTTTTTTGGTTCGTTCTAGATGTTTTTTTTTGGATTTTTTTTTTGATTTATCTAATGATTTACTTTTTTGGTTCGCCAAAAAACTATGTAGAAAAAACTTCTTACATTTTACCAAAAATTTCCTTCTTATCGAATCTATATCTTTAAATCATAAACCATATCATAGAATGCAATAATCATATAATCGAATTGAAGCATGCATATACTAAAATACTCATCAAAGCATAGTCTTGTTTAATTCATTTCATAAACCATAGCATAACAATGCATATAACATTAGATTAAAAATTATTCATTATAACCGATTTACAAGCATCATCATATCTCATAGGTAACAAACATAAAGCTCACATATTTCAACAAATAGATAATAGCCTACTACGAATCAATATAGCCATTTACGAAAAGGTAGCTTTCGACTATGTAATTGATTTAGAAAAGAATGACGGCTCATCTCCAATCTGAATAGTAGAGAGACCTTCTCTATCAACAATCCTTGATCGATGGTCCCATTAACAATAGTGTTAATTAGCAACCACTTTTTTTTGGAAGGCGATATACTTATGTGTGACCGCGGATTCCACGGTAGCGTTAGTTCTAGCTCTACGTTAAGAGCAAGGGGCTCTATCTAAAGAAGTTACAGACCCCTCCCATAGTACAATACGATGCAACTGGAAAACTTAATAAGCTACCGTAGCTCGCTTTGCTTTTGTTGCGGAGCTTACTGCTTTTGGAATAGGAAATCAGGTTCACACCAAAGCTACCGACCACCCTGAACAACAAACAAGGACCCTATAAGAATCGAGTACCATACAAGAAATATGGTCGAGAGACCTTCTCTACCAACAATCCTTCTTGATCGATGGTCCCCATTAACAATAGTGCTAATTAGCAATCGCTTTTTTTGGAAGGCGATATACTTATGTGTGACCGTGGATTCCACGGTAGCAGTAGTTCTAGCTCTACATTAAGAGTAGGAGGGCTCTATCTAATGGAGGTACAGACCCCTCCCATAGTACGATACGATGCAATTGGAAAACTTAATAGGCTATCGCGGTTCGCTTTGCTTTTATTGCAGAGCTCACTGCTTTTGGAATAGGAAATCGGGTTCACACCACCTTGAACAACAAACAAGGACCCTATAAGAATCGAGTACCATACAAGAAATTTGGTCCGAACAAAGGAACTACGTGTCGCATGTACATGGTGTATGTTATGCATTTTTGAGTTAGGCTTGCAAACCAAGTTGCAATCTAGTGATCCAACGTGTTGCGTCTTGGAGGTCAACGCGTTGCATTCATGAGTCAAATGCTTCAGACCTGTCACGTTTTAGCATAGCTATGCGCCACGTTTTAGCATAGCTATGCGCCACGTTTTAGCATAGCTATGTGTCTCGTAAGCTATAAGCATGTGTCACATTTTATCACATTGGATCGTAATTCAAACATAGTATGTCTCGAGTAATGAGGGTTTATGCGTCACATTCGTTGTAACGGTGCAAGGGTCGATATCTTGAACACTAGTCGTTCTCGACCACATCCTAACTCTCTTTGAACAAGGGACATTCTCAAACAATCCAAATTGATCATGAACAAGAATGGATACAACTTACACAAAAACATCAAATTTGTGCAAGAACTTACAATCTACAAGTTTCTATTAAATCAAAATAGAGAAATGGATAATAGATGAAGCTCTTACCTTCTTGAACTTTTGAGAACACCGGGAAACACAATGATGAGATTGGAAACCAACCACCACGCCAACAAAATCCACCTAAGCCACACTTAATAACTTTTCATTAATATAAATGGAAACTCTACTTAGAACTCATCCTTTCTAGCTATGGAGGTTGTAATTAGGGTAAGAAAATTGGCCATTAGGGTAATAGGGTTAGGGTTCCTTAAATATGTCATAATTTTCATGCTAGCCCCTCAGTATATCAAACTGCCCCTAAGACCCATATATAGGTTCAAGGTTTATTTAATTATACTCTCGCCCCCAAACAACATCTTAAAACGAAGATAAGTTCAATCCAAATAAAGAAAACATAATGGAATGCTAACCTCGCAAACGGAAGAAAATTTGATTCGTTACAGTTTCATATGAACTATCATTGCAAATTCAATTGTGAATGGTCCGTATATTCGTCAAATGGACATGAAGACATCATTTATGAAGCGTTACTTAATCAAGGATTTTTAGGATGCATATATTGAGCAGATCGATGAGTTTATCATCCTAGATGTGATAACAAATTGTGTAGACTTGTACATTTGTCAAGGGTTTGAAACAAGCTCTAAAATAATGA